CTCAAAGTGGGTTCCTCGTCATCGAATTTGTTTCTTCTTGCTTTGCAGTAAAATGGTACAAACGGTCTTCCTCCAGTAAATAAGTTGAACCAAGACTACAAAAGAAACCTTGCAATTTTATTTCATTTACAGATATAGATATTATTAATTTCAGTAGAAAACCTATATACAGTGTAAGCATTAAGTTACAAGGCTCCTAAGAATGTGCTAAATGTAACAACAAAAAACACTGAGTAATACATCTTATTGCCTAGTTATAGCACTAGTAGTCAGTGTGTAGAAAAAGAAAAATCTTGTGTAAGGTATATTTAGATTCTGTTCCTGAGCTGAAGCTGAATTGTGATTTCTCATACAAGGGCTTTATTTTATGGCTAAAATATAGCATGGGCACCAAGAAAGAGAGGAAAAACACATTTATTAAAAATAAAATTTCAGTGTAATATCAAAAAAATTATAATTAAGGTTTATGATAAAAATGAAACTATATCTCATGGTGTGTTCCAGTTAGAACCTCCTTTTTTTCTTTCTGAGTATTAAAGTACAAAATCATTTTTAGTATGCTATACATTGATCATTTGTTTATTGGATGACTTATTTTCAGGGATTTCAGCTTAAAACTATAAGATCAAACATCATTACTTCAGAATATTATAAGAAATACATTGTACATCAATATGTGCAAAATATTGAAACATATATTTTTGTGTAAAATACAGGAAAGGTTTAGATTTGTTTTTCATTTTACATACATTGATGAGTTGACAGAACCACTTGTGTATGTTTTAAAAAGATTGTTTTTAATCTGATGCATTATTCTTGGTCATTGTAATATTTTTTTGTTTTCTATGATAACAGAGAAGCACTTAATGTTGAAAAAATGTGGTTAATGAAGTAGATTGATATTTATTCAGCATTTTGAAAGATATAAGTAAAGTGATACTAAAATGAACATTTGTTGATGGTAAATATTTCAGGTATGTAGAGTAAAATCTGTTAACTGGGCTTGTATACAGAAAAATAGCCAGACTCTTATGCATAGGATAAAGAAAAATAGATAGCAACCAGAAATACTATACAAAAGTGATTTATTATTGTTTATGAACATGAGTAGAAAGTTAGTGATCTTATTCAACTGCCACTAGGAGTGTGCATTGAAAATGACTTTAACATTTAATCCATGAAAAAAAGGTAAATAAAGAAATAGATGATGGAATAAAAACATATTGTTGTCTTGTAATTTAAACAAAGTATACAATGTATAAACCACAAAAGTGACCATTTTCATCGCAAACTTTTTGCTAACTTGTGACAGAAATTAAAACAATCTGTTATACAACAGTGAAAAGATTAGTGCATGCTTATAAAGAGAATTAAAAAGTACATTTTATACAGTACAAAAAGTATAATTAAAGTTTGTTTGATTGTGCATTTTAATTGAGATTTGCAGAAAAATAAATTCAATTTTAGTGTCTGAGTTCTTTACCTAAAGTATGGAAATCTGTGTAACTTTGTTATTGCATAATTTACTGTAAATTAATGTTATTTTAATAGTAAAAAATAATTACATGGAATTTGTAAGCAAATATAAGTCTGTCACAACAAAACATATTAGATACACTGGCTGTAAAAAAAGATTAGGTGGATGTTTTTCATTTTCAAAAGAAATATAATTAGTTGTAAGTGCCAATATACCTCTAGAAAAATTATGTAAAGATTTTATATATATTTTGAAATTGGTCCATTTTGTGTGATTTGAAAATACTGCTTACAGTAGTCATTAAAATTGCTGTTTACCTTCTCTACAGTATAATTTAGTACATGAAATAGCATTCAAATTTACATTTTTATACAACTTATTGAGACATTGTGCAGGAGGGGAATGAAAAAAATGTCAAAAACCTTGTTGCTTTAACTAACATATTTACTGGCAAAAAATTATTTGGTTGCTGTGTCTTTAACATAAACCCTTTATTTAGCAAATCTCAGTATCAGATAATGTCACTACATAGGATTTAATAATTAAGAACACACACATTGTAATGCAAGTTTTACAGGTAAAAAGTCGTCTTAATGTCTTTGTTACTGTTGCATGTAGTTTTCCTTACATCTTAAACAGTGTTAACAGCTCTGTGGTCAAACATTTCAGTGTGATCAAGTCTAATGTTTATTCTGGATAATGTTAATAACTTTTTACTTAATTTCCATGTGATCAGACTTATTGTTGAACATAAATTTTCTTTTACAACTGAGGCGTGGCTGATAGCTTTTCAATCATTCTTCCATATAGTTAGGGCTGCCACAAAGTATATATTTCTCTAGTGTGCATTTTAGACAGTATTCATAGCTAGCATGCATAGGCTAAAACATCTTTTATGATGCATTTTGCTAGTTTCATACATATACTGTGACTTGTGAGTATCACTGAACCAAATGGTGATATTATTAGTTTACCCATTTCTTCCAAACAGAAGAGGCAACAAAAGTTGTCAGTTATATACCTTTTTTTTTTTACTGTATGAATTCTTGAATTTTTTTTTCTACAATGTTTTCTACCTTTTTTTTTAACTTCAGTAAGTTTGCCTGTGAAATTACTAGAAAGATAATTTCCTAAGAACCATGCTGATATGGAAAGGGTTTGTTTCAATTTAGATTTTTATTTCCTTACTAAGGAACAATAGCCACCTGAAAACATCATTAGGCCCAACTCAGAATGAAAGGATAACAGTCAGATAAAGGATAAGGCTATTTTTTGTGGACCCTGTTTTATGCAGGGCATCTCATACCATGAAATTATTTTTACATTGAAGTTAAAAGTTTTCATAAGAGAAGTGTTCATATCTGACACCACCCTGTAGCAAATAACAACAAAATATTATTCTAATGTTTGGTGAGGGTATAGTTCTATATTATGTGATGAAGGTGAACATTACAGTCACCAGAATGTTATAATAAAAGTTTATTTTTTGTCATTCATTTCTGTTTGGGTCATAACTCAATCAAATAGCATGATTATCAACTGTTGAAAAATGATTTATATTTGAGACAGGTTTGTAGTGTGAACAACACAAAATTTGATGTACAATAATGAAAACAAAAACTAATCACTTCTACAGGCACTTCAAGTCTACAAGTGTCTAGTCAGTGTGTAAAATATCAGTTATAATTTTTTTTAGAAACCAACATTATATAGTGCTCTTTTAAGAATGGTTGTCATTGTAAATTATAGTAGAAAAATTTAAATTAGCCTTATTGTTTTGAACACTTGTAAAACCATTATATATTTAATGTGCAATATTTTGGCCAAAGACATTCTTCAGGGACAATGTGTTCGGTTACAGCATTTATCCTTTAAATTTATTGTAAAAATGTGTAATTAAAGTTACTAGACAGTTATTGTTTGCGTTTTCTAGCTTTATGGAAACTCTTGCAACCTATTATGGACATGGTAAACTGTGTTCATAAATTATAATTATTTTAGTTAATTTATGATTGTATTAATATAAGAAAACTAGTGCAAATTTAACTTGTTCATAACAAATATATAAAACAATCTTGGTAATTATTTGATTAGAATCTATTTAAACATTTGTAAAAATAAGTGATACTTTATTTTTATGTTGTTTTTTAACCTATTATCTGTTTCCGTTGGAGAGATGAATTGATATTACTTGTGTGAACTCTGACATTTTTAGTGTGTTTAGTTTTATAAGCAATTCATAACATTTTTGAATAATTGTGAATATATAGAAAGGGTTGCTCAGTCAACAAAATAACTTGAACTTATTAGCTATAAAGTAAAAAAAAAAATGGTCACTGGATACCTGATGTGAACAGTGTAGTTTTTGTGTCATTGAACTTGATGCTTGTTATATTGATAAACCCCTGTTATGTTTATGTAGAAGTTGTCAT